CTCTTTTAGGGATGAAATAAACAATTCAAAGCAATTGGAAATTTCTTCCCAGCTCGGACTACATCGATGGAGTCCGTTTCAGTTGTTTCCGAAATCCTGATTATAGAGCGTCTGATATACTCGTAAATAATATCCTAATTAATGGCTTACAGATAATACAGATGGCTTTTATTAATTGCACACGAGTGCAATATTCCAACAATAAAAGTGCATTAATGGCATACTCTTAGTTCGCGTTAAAGTTTAAGTTAGGTGGATACGGTTGAATATCCTTCAAACCAATCAAAGCATTGCTTTAAGCCAACCATGTCTGTCTGAAAACTCGCACACCTTTATTGCCTTATAGTCGAATATCCAGCTCGAGATTGAGTTATGCCTTCGAATGCTATTTAGCGACTCAATGTGTTCCCAGAATTCTAAAACTTTCATGTTCCCGACTCTGTGCTGCACTACTTTAACTGCAGCGATAATTTCCGGGTCTGTAGTTTTTTCCACTGCTTTTGCAGCTTGAGTGCCATGTAGCTATGCAGAGGACTGTCCAGCGACCAGTGGCCATCGACAAATGCGGTTATCCTGGCCAGCAGCGATGTGGAAGTGGCAGCCAAGCGTCGAGGCCAAATGGCAAATGGTTGTTACTCGAAATGCTGTCCTGTCCAGGTGACCACCTTCTTCCCCCCATTTCGCCCACTCGCCCACTCGTCCACTTGCCTTTGATAACTCTTACTGACTTATCACATTACATAAAAATTCAATTTCCAATCCATGGGTGCGCAGTGCTCAGCGATTTGTGCAACGCATCGCATCACATCGCATCGCATCGCCAAATGCCGGAAATGCTCTCGAATTCGTTTACAGCTTTGCGATTCGCACAGCGGCCGCTCTAAATGTCGACGGCTGGGCGTTAACGAAGGCGGTGACAGGGACCTGGCAAGGACTACGTAGCACGATGATGATCCTAAATTATATTTCAATCAAGCCGCCAAGGCATGGCGCGGCAACAACAACACCAACAGCATAGCGAAGTTTTCACCAATGTTTCGAATAACATTTGCATTTCGGAGCGCCTGCAATTTGATAAAAGCGGCGACCAAACTAATTGGAATTCACAACTCTTGTTGTTGTTGTTGTTCTTGTTGTTGTTTGCAGTGATTAACCAAAAGCGAACGAAATGTTCCATCCATAGCCCCCAAATGCCACTCTAAGTCAGTTCTCTCCCTCGCCCTGTATTTGAAAATTGGAGCACAGCTGCCGCCTTAAACACACACACACACAGTCGCTTACACCTGCGACTTACGGAAATTCTCAGGCAAACATTTTTCTAGGTGTGCACGTGAAGGATATACCCCAGCACTGCGAGCTTTTGCCTCTGTCTGCTCCATTTCCCAATACTTCTTTCCCTCGCATTTCTAGGACAACGCAGATTCGCGTTAGTAGAGACTGCAACGACAATAACGATGAAGACAACTTTCCGTGTCGTCTGTCTTTGGCCCAGAAAATGTCTTCGACTTAGTCCTTTTTTAACACTCGAGCTGCTGAGCCTGTTGAGCTTTGTACTGAGCGAGTGCAGGGGGGATGTGGATGTGTTGGGGCTTGAAACTTCATGACTGCGCATAAAAGACGCACTAAATACCAAGCACCAAGTAAGCACGAAAACATCCAAGCCACCTCTCCTTTCCTTTCCTTTCCTCTCCCCCCTCCCCAATGTACAAGTATGTGTGACGGGATTAAAGGAGGCTCAGGACTGGGAGGCAGGACTGTGTTTGCCAACAACAATGACATCAACTGCGTTTAGTTTGAATAATTATGCATACAATTTGAAAAATGGGTCTACAATGTCAGCTGGCAGAGCAGTTGTGCGATCCAGAAATACACAAAGATATATCTGCCTTTATAGTATATTAGTCCTTCGAGACTTGTGTGCCATTTTTTACAGTACATGGCAGCTTTCGAGTTCTCGAATCAACTCGATTAGACAACGATAAGGCGAGCTATTAAGTATATAGAATAAACATTCTATTTGAAGGAAATCAAAAATGGAAAGGAATTTAAAAAAAATAATAATAATTTTTACTTTTGTGAAGATTCGATAAATTGAAATACCGTATTCTTTTTATCGAATCTTCACTCTTAGAGACTAACGACTAAAGTAAATATTAAATAAATATTTAATCAATTACAATAAATTATTTGGAGTACGCCCCTAACCCAACTATTATTGCTGGATGGGGAGGTCTCTTCGCGTTTTTCTTTTTGTGGGGTTAAAAGACGAACTACTTCGACAGGGCTGTATTCCTAACTCTGGTGAACCAGCCGCAAATAATACAGTACAGTACCCATATAATCGCACTTCAGAATTAAAGGCAAGGGTGGCGGTTTAGAGAGGTGGGGACCCTCTAAGTACGAGCACACCATATTTAAATTTCAAGCGCAATCTAACAAAGGTTATTTAAAGTACAAACAATAATTACTGTACTAGCGTTCAGTATCAACAAAAAAAAAAAAAAACAACTTGAATTCAAATTTAAAAATAGCACACAATCATTCCGATTGCAATAAATAACGCAAATATGCATTATTGTGTGTGTGTGTGTGTGTGTGCCGCCCTTTATTTAAACACGAATTAGTATGCATTTTGTTTGCCATTAGAAGCTGAGCAGTTTTTGGTGGTCGTGTAATCAAAGCTTATCATTCATACATATATTTTGTTGATTATTCAAATTTGTCTCAATATCAATCAGCGACGTTGGCTTTGTTGTCCCCTCCATGCCTTCATGTCCAGATCCTCGCAATCAAGCGATTATTTGTTTGTTCGGCTTAGTTCTCTCCCACTTGTTGTTGTTGTCGGGCCCCGCCCTTAGCCCCAAACGACGACGATAATGACGACGACTCGCCTCGCTTCGACTCGCCTCGACTCTGTCGACTTTGTTTGCGTTTCAAGTGCTGCGTAAATGAATTTTATTTTATTTTATTTTCGCATCAAATGATGAATTTGAAAATTGCAAACACGTGCCCCCCTCCTTGGCGCCTCCTCTTGCTCTTGTTGTTGGCTTCGTCGTCGTCGTACGTGCAGCCATTCGGGGGCCACTCGTGAGCACCTCGAGACTTCGATGCTGCCTTGGAAGCATGCAAATGCCGCGATATCTCTCTCTACTACTACTACTACTACTACTTGTATATATAAATGAATATACATATGCATATAAGTATATACTATTTGATAAGCTGACTTGTTGGCGCTCTCATTCATAATCGAGACGCCGTCTCTTAGTATAGGAGCTCAACTCCTTTAGAGTTAGGGGAGCACGCGATTGATTCACCCTTCGAAATCGTTCGTTATCCTTCAGAAAATTTGCGAAAGCAAAAGCTACTTCCTGGTCGACATTTTCACTTTCTTAGCGCCACGTGCCGTGCATTTTTCATTTCCATAACATTTTCGCCTCAAAATTCAAATAAAATATGCAGTGTAATAGTGCTGGAAAGTAAGACCAACTAGGACATGTGCATTGCCGCCCATACCCCCCGTACATATATACTACATGTATGTACATATATCTAGAGCCCAGTAACCAAAGCGAACGACAAAGTTCAGCACATCATTACGAATGCAGATGCAGAAGGCACACACACACACACACGCACACAAGGACACGGAAATGTGAAAAGGACACGTCCGTGTACGTTTGTAAAACATTCATATTATCGTAACCAAGCCAGATCGAGTCAACCTGGGCCAGGCCGAGGTGAAAGAACCGCCGTGCAGCGGCACTGGCACTGGCATCGGCACCAACCCACCGTACACCGCGCACCGCACAACCACAATGACAAACAGTTCCGGTTCAGTACACTTTAAAGTGATTGTGGCACGGTGGGCGGCTTAGCAGGGGGCACCAGGGGGCAGGCGCAGCATCGGCATAGCTGCCACCCAGCCTTGATGATGATTGTTTATCGTCGGACAGTGGTTCACTCACAAAGTGAAAATCCAAAACTGAACCTCATTTCAAATGAAATGGAGACAGTCAACATACAAGTAATAGAGTGGAATATGCTGGTTACGAGCTGCTCTTGGGAGCAGATATTTTGGTTTATGCTAGTGATGATATCTCCTCTGGGTTGGGTATGTTTCTTTTTATACCCTGTACCCCATTCGGGTAAAAAGGGTATATTAGGCTTGTGGAAAGTATGTAACAGGGTGATGGAAGCTTTTCCGACGCCACAAAATATATATATTCTTGATCAGCATGACAAGAGCAATCGATCTAGACATGTGTGTCCGTCTGTATGAACGGCTGGATTCCGAAAACGGTTGAGCGCACATTAACCAAAATTGGTATGTAGACGCTACTAGTCCCTAGGCCATACGAGTTTATTGATTTTCCCCACTCTCCCTCACCCCGCTACAGAATTTCGTTAATATCTTCAAACATAATTATCTACTTTTGTTTCAAAATTCATCTCATTAGAATACTGTGTCAAGCAACGGACACGTCTGCCTTGCATATCCAAAGAAATACCTGCTCCCCTAAACAAGCTGCTTCTTCGACCATCTGCCTTTTATGCCTTTTTCATATTTCTTTGTGCACTGGCGAAAGGTCTGGGTCTTCTCCATTGAGTAGTGCCTGCCCAACCTAATCTAAATATCCTGTCAATGCACTTGCTTCCTATTCAATTGAAAATATATATTAAGATATATATTAGTCATAGTGTATGTTAAGTTCTTGCCGATTCATGGGAACTACTAAGAACACCTGATACTTCCAATGTGTGTAAGCGTATGCCCAGCTATTAATTTCCTGCAACAACAAATGGCAACTGAACAACTGTGCGGAGCAGCTGCTCATTATTGTATTTGAATGGTGTGGTGGAGGGAGGGGGGAAGGGGGGAAGCACCCGCTGAATAATACTTTGAAAATTAATTGAATTGTCTTCTCTGCTTCTGCAACTGCCTTTGTCTCGACCTCGCTCTCTTATTCTGTTTGTGTCTCCTTTGTGTACCATTGCAGCTGTCAATATTATGTTAGAAGCCATCCATGGGTGCTGGCGTACGAGGGGGTCATCACCTTCTTCGTCTTAGCTAATTTCACATTAGCCACATTTATGGATCCGGGGATAATACCCAAAGGTATGTAACGTGCTCAAGCCACCTCCAGCGCCCCTCCGCACAGCCTAACTTGACTGAATTCTAGCCTCACCCGACGAAGACTGCGAGGAGGAGTTCCGAGCGCCACTCTACAAGAATGCCGAGATCAATGGCATCACCGTCAAGATGAAGTGGTGCGTCACCTGCAAATTCTATCGTCCACCCCGCTGTTCGCACTGTTCCGTTTGCAATCACTGCATCGAGGTAAGCCACATTCAACCACCCGCCTATTAACCTATGTATATATATGTAATGTGATCTCTTTCAGACGTTCGATCATCACTGTCCGTGGGTCAATAATTGCATTGGACGGCGGAATTATCGCTTTTTCTTCTTCTTTCTCGTCTCACTGTCGATACACATGCTAAGCATTTTCTCGCTGTGCTTGTTCTACGTCCTCAAGATAATGCCCAACATCAAGCAGACGGCGCCTATTGTAGCGTATCCTTTTTGCAAAAACAAATCACAATAATCATTTACAATTATAATAATAATCATAAATCTATTCAAGTTGCAACGTATTGTGGCTTATCCCTATTCTATAAGCCATAGCAGTTATAATTCTATATAACAGCACTTTTCATTCAGTCTTTGACGTCGTGAAACGTTTATTATAGGCCTGCCTAGAAAGCACCTAAATTCTTGGGATGGTAAGCCATTTTTGGGCAACGTTCAAAGACTAGATGAAAAGGTTCCAACGTTTTGCACTTCAACTGCAAAATATAGACGAGCATTACATTTTCAAACAAGAAAGGAATGCTAGAGTCGGGCGAGTTCAACTCTTCAATACCCTGCACCCACTCCCATAAAAAAGAAAAATATTTAAAAAATTAATTCTTTGCTTCAGGAAAAAAAACAAACGGATTTAGGAGAATCTGTATATTTGAAAATTTGGTTATTCTAGCTCTGAGATTCTTGCGTTCATACAGACAGACATTTTTATATCGACTCGTTTTGGCATACTGATCAAGAACATATATGTATACTTTGTGCGGTCTGCCAAGCCTTTTTCGCACAAAACTAATTTACCCTTTTACCCCAAGGTTATAAAAATACTGATATGCATTTCTTAGAAGCTTTAGTTTTAAGAGTTTTCATACATCGGGGTCACCAAATCTTGAGCTGCCATCGTTCAGAGGGATGGCAAAATACAAATAAGAAATTGAAGTCTTCACTGGACTATATACATAGATATATGTGTATAATTCATTCTCATATATAGTAAATGTCTTAGTCAATTGAATTGGTTTCCTTAATTTGCGTCGCACACCTATTGCCCAAAATTTCCACAGTATGATACTAATGGGGCTCGTCACCGTCCTGGCGATACCCATATTCGGTCTCACCGGCTTCCACATGGTGCTAGTGTCCCGTGGTCGGACCACAAACGAGCAGGTGACGGGCAAGTTCAAGGGCGGCTACAATCCGTTCTCGCGCGGCTGCTGGCACAATTGCTGTTACACGCAATTCGGACCGCAGTACCCGAGGTTAGTCCCCAAATGGATCCGATGATAATACCTGAACTAATTCTATATCCTTTTACATTTGACCTGATAGCTTGTTGAAGCCAAAGAAGTATGCATCGCGACGTTCACAAACACAAAATCCAGCAATCAGTACCATATGCAACGATCGGACCAATCAGCAAAACAATACCGGAGGCAATGGCAGTGCACCGGGGGGCGCTATGCGCGGCACATCGGTACAATATTCACCTCGCTCCTATTACGAATCGAATCGGGAGAAGCGTGGAATACAGGTAAAGACTTATATGGCCGAGGGCAATGGTTATAATCAGCGGTCGGGCAGCACAACGCTTTATAGTAAGGTGGGTAACATTTTGCAAACAAAGACAAAAAACAAGCAAAATACAATTCAAGAAAAATTAATAAAGACATCCAAAATGCAAAACTTTATAAATATATTAACGATTCTTGACAATAATAATAATAATTAGTTCAAAACGGCGACTGCAACGGCAAAGACAAAAGAACTTAAAAAACAACCTAATTAAGTCCTTAGAAAGGATGTTGGATTGCGAAATTGCGAAATGAGTTTGTCTTTGTTGTTGTTGTCGTTCATGTAATAGTTGTATTTGTTGTTATTGTAACTGTCGTTGTCATTTGTTGGTTGTTTACTTATGTAAATGCATTTGTAACTTTGTTCCTTGTTTATTGTTATTGCTTTTTGAGCGTTTAATGTTAACGATATTTCAATTCTCACTCTTCATTTCTTAACTTTCCTTTTCATTTTTCACAATTTTATTTATTTTTTTGTTCTTATTACACTTTTTATTTATTTATTTCATACGCTGCTGCGCTTCACAGTATTTCATGGATTATTCATGTATTTTTTTTTTAAATTATTATTTACTTTTCCTCACTACCATAACGCTAATTAATCTATCGCTAAACACACACACACACACACCTGCAAATGCACATGCATATATGTATGTATGTATCTGTCTGTCTACCTGGATGGATATATATATATATATATATATATATATATATATATATATATATATATATATACAAAAAAAAAAAAAAAAAAATATATATATATATATATATATATCATATATCTCTTCTCTCTTATCTCTCTATCTCTCTCTAATCCTATCTCTCTATCTCTCTCTCTCCTCCTCTCTCTCTCTCTCTCTCTCTCTCTCTATCTCTCTCTTTGTTATTTTTTTTTTGTACTCTGTGTGCGTGTGTGTGTGTGCGTGCCTCTGGTCTTGTTGCTAACTGCTAATTCGTCCGGCTTTACCCATATTTTTAACTGCCCCCGCTCTCCAAATACTAAATATGCATGTACTTGTATGTTTGTTCGTTTGTTTGTTTGTATGTACGTTTGACGCACAGTTTGTTTGCTCGCTCGTCCGTCGGTCTGTCTGTCCGCCCGTCCACCCACTTCGTACGCCCCCGTAAACCCCGCCATGTTTTCTTGCCAACAACTTTGTTAATAAGTCGGCTGCATTCTTGAGTTTTCTCTTCCTGCCATTTGAAATTTTGCTCGCTCTGTTTAGGTTGAAGCGTAGAAAAGTCTTTGGATACCAAAAAGTTTCGGGTAGTAGGATAAAGAGACAGGAATATGCACGTCTACAGTCGGGAAGGAGTCTTAAGAGGTAGTCGAAAAATAATAAATGTATATCTATTTATAACATTTTGGAAAAAAAAATTACAAAAAGCATTTTTCGGAAATAGTTTTTTGAAAAATTGAATAAAACTAAAAAGTGGAGCCTAGAAAAGTCCTTGGATACCCAAAAGTTTCGGGTTGTACATGAAGAGACAGAGATATAGACGTCTACAGCCAGGAGTCTTAAAAAATAGTCGAGAAAAAAGTGTATCTTTGGAAGTAAGTAACTTCGGAAATATATAATTTATATTTCTTGAAAAAATTGAATACAAAAAAACATTAATTTTCTAGTATACAGGGCGCGCCATCTTTTATGTCGGTATGTAAATATTGAATAACTTTGTCATTAGTGAACCGATTGACTTGAGTAGACCAGTGTTGAAAACCTCAGTTCAAGAAATTGTACAGAATCAAATTAAATAAAAATATCTCATAATTGAAAATCGGTTGTTTATTTTCAAAGATATTCAATGTTTACATACCGACATAAAAGATGGCGCACCCTGTATTCAGTATATTCTTTCAAATCGATATAAAGCCTGCAACGCATCGATAAGTGGCCTCTTAATAGACGAAGAATCGAAGGCTAGTCTGGTAGATAAATGGTGAGAGAATGCTGCCCTATTGGTGTGTCAGTGTTGGTTAACGAGTACAATTACAAAGCGAATTCAATTAACCGAATAGCACTTTAGTCAGATATTGGGAAAGCATGTCCTTACACATAAGTATCCATAGTGAAGAAAACAGGAATTTGTAGTGATGAGATGAAGCTGGAAGCGAAGAACAGAGCACCATACCTTAATTGGTATTGTAAAATGGAGAAAACACACACAGTATTCGTAGACAATGCTCACTGGCACAGTAATAAGTATGTCCTATGTCTAAATAGGGAGGATGCCTATGTGGTCCTTCTACCTAGTCTCTCTCTTTTTCTTCTCTCTTGTTAATGCACCTTTTCGCACTTACCGCTAAAATGTAATACATGAAATGCAATTTTCTAGTTGTCTGTTTTTTGTTTTTATTTTCTTTTTTTTTTTTTTGTAACCTCTCAGGCTTCCTCTAAAAATTGGTTAATCCCGCTACTTTTTTATTCGCCTACAACTTTTTTCTTTGCCCCACTTTGAATGCATGTGGTTTCGAGTTTTCTTTCGGTTTCGTTTATTTCCTCCCTTCCCTTCTTAGTTTCGCATTAGTTGAGTTTTTGATCTGTTTTTAGAATGTACAAGCTCTCGTACACCTTATACATATGCTAAACAAAATTTTCTGCATATAATACAAGCTAAATATTTATAGTATGTATCTTGAAAAAAAATAAAAACAAAAAAGAATTGGTCAAAACAAAACTCTACACTTACTGCAAGCACCGAAAAAGGTAAAAAAAAATACAATACAAAAATATACTTCTTATTTACTTATTACTGATTGATAATGCTATTGATTGATCGAATTGAATTGTTAAACATTATTTTTGCCTTTTCTCTCTCTCTCTCTATCTCTCTGTCTTAAATTTTTTTAAAGTCCTCTCTGTGTCTCTCAAGCTCGATTTCCCTGTGCTCTCGAAACTATTGAGACTGCCCCATTAATTTTTTCACTTTTCCAACACTTTTTGCGGTCCGTTCTGTTTTTTTCCTCCCAAAATTGGTTTCCCAAAATTCGTATAGTTGCTGCCTCAATTACACTCGATTTTTCGCAATCATAATACAATTTTCAAAGAATCTCCCCTCATACATTTCTATAAATTTCAGATTGGTTTTGCCATATCATACTATATGTTTTTTATGACTCCTTTCACTTTCGTTTTGCGCTCATGCCGTATAGAGACTGTTTCCTTCAACTTCAACATATGTATGTTTCTGCAGCCAAATGCAAATACTGTTCCGAGCGATTTCCCCAGACCTATTTATTTCTCCAATGGACACTTTCTCCCCCTTTCTCTCTCTCTCTCTCTATATATATTTCTCTTACACACATACATACACTGTGCGTTTCGTATATGCCGGAAAGCAGGAACCGTTTCCGTTTCCCCGTTTCATCTGGACCCAGTTATTCATCATCATTTACTCGTGTGCCCAGCACTGCCTTAATTTAACGTTCAGTTGGTTTTTCATTTAATTGCGAAACTAAATGTAGGCCTAAGTTCTGTGTAATTCGTAAAATATCATTTTGCCGATGCGCCGCTCTCTCACAATTCAAACTCTGCACGCTCTCCCTCCTCAGCTCTCGCCCGGCCGCGAATGCTCCGACACAGATATGGAGCCACCACCCGCCTCCCAGAGCCAGGACTGCGAGCCCACGCCGCCCCTGCAGCGCCACAACTCGACGAACTTCTATCTACCGCAGGTGGAGAACTCTGTGGTGGGCCTCAATAACGGGAACATAGCGAGCGGAGCGCCCCCCACTGCCCAACAGGGCGGTGGCAGCGGAGGAGATTCCCCGCGACATCTGAGAATGTATCATCCGCGACACAGTCCGCATGCGCGACCACGGTAAGTAGTAACTGGGACTGGGAGTAATTACCATGCAAGGCATGGCAAATGGGTCCATAGGTAGGCGGCATATCATTGGGTCTCTCCCTTTCTATGATAGACAGACAATGTTTAAGACGATTTGTGTAAGCGGCTGCTAACTTATTATTATATTATTATTATAAATTATTTGTAATCAAGTAATTTACAGCTTCCTCCTAGTTAGCTCTATTAAAAACTATCGGTCACTTTAAAGTTACATTGCAGAGACTTGTGCATAAAGAATAGTTAGTAGACTGCAAGAACTAACTCACTTGCTTAATACTTATTAAACATTGATCTGAACGATTTTCACTTTAATTTTGTATACTTTGACTTTTTCAGATTTACAATTCATTCCATTTCTATATAGGATAGATATTAAATAGCTATAGTGTCTTATCATCCAAAAAGTGACGCTGAAAACTCATAATCTTGCTTAATGCTTTCAAAAAAGCGCAATCAAAGTTTCTTGATTTGATTTCTATCGAATGTGAGAAAGCTACGAGTATGTCTCCTAATATTAAAGGATCTTATCAATTTCCAATTCCGCTTAGTATAATTAGTTTCCTACGTCATCTTATGTTACGAAAAGGATACAAGTATGTAGAGTAGGGGAAGTTCTTTCAATTTTGCTATATCATCTCATTCAGTTGTAACATAATTTTTCAAGAGATATTTGGAATTGGAGACATCAATAGTCTTTCAAAAATAATGTAGTGGTTAGTTATAGACAACTATGTTCAATAAAAAAACATAGATATGTTAGGAGATATGTTATGTGAAAGAAAGATAATAAATAGTTCTAAAAGAAATGCAATTCGATGATTAAAATTTGAACAAAGCATTCAAAAAATTGTTTGACTCGAAAGTGTGTGTCCGAGCAGGCACGATGAAGGAGGAAGTCGATTGGGTTTCTAAAAATCAAACTCTTAGCACTACCACCCAAAGAGGTCCATGCAGTTAAAATGGACCGAACAAGTGTTGCACAACATTCACATTTTTTTAAACACTCTTTTGAAGCGCTTTTCACAGTCTACTACATACTTCTATTTGGTTTTTTTAGCGGCCTGGATCCACAACGCAATTACACGAGCGACGCCCTCTCGCCGGAACATCCCGGCGGCTATGCCAACAGTCAGGGCATATCATCAGCACAAAATCAGCGAAGTGGGACCACAACAGCCACGCCCACCATGCAACAACGAATCAAGCCCCTTGGCGTTGCCACACCATTGGTCATGGCTAGTCCAGTGAGAAGGTTAGTAGTGTTCCCCATCCTCCCAAGGCTTTCTTTCAACAGTATCGCGCTACTTGTATTTGCCAATTGCTACTATTTGTCGCCAATACCCTCAACACACCTTTGGCCAAAACCAAAACCCAATCCATCTTCAACCTAAACTTGAACTTGAGCGGTTGTTGTTGTTATTGTTACTGTTGTAGCTAATGCTGTAGCTTCATGGCCTGTTTGGCCCGCTTGGCCTGCCTGGCCTGCTCTGGCTGTGTGTAAAAAGCTCGCATTCGATGTTCTGGCTAGCTCACCTACTTCTGCACACACACATCGCATATCTGTCGTCCCCAGAGGCGAAGGTCGCGTCCATGTCCTCGCTATATTGTTGCTTCTCCGTGTTTTGTTTTCCATTTCCATGCAAATTTATGTGCTTCCCTCACAAGTCGTTGTCTACAAAGGTCTCGTCTGGTCTGGTTTGGTCCAGTTGAAGATCTCACCATTTATCACCATGCAAGAAGTAAGGCTTTGGCTTGAGTAGTTATGGATAAATTATCATGTAAAAAGCAAGGAGCTCTTGAGTATTAAAGAGTCCCTTAAAGAACTTGTACATGTATTCCCCCAAAATGCCTTTTATGATATGTGTTTCTGTGTTTAACTATGTTATTGTGAATATTTTAGCGCTCGATGATGACATAAATTGGCCTCAATAGAGATTCATTCATCGTAAAAGTATCGCATGTTTTTAATTGTAATTCTTAAAAAAAGAAACTTACTTTATTCTTACTATATAGTTTCAAAATTGATCAAATTTGTTTAACTTCGACAATCATTGCATTGCAATGGGCGTCGAAAAGTGTTTCTGTCGAAACGGTTTTCAAACTTTCAATATCAATATCTCAATAGTTAACACTTAGATGGTAAGATATTATCTTACTTTCAACATATCTTAAGTAATTTAATCGAGGATTCACATATTTTTTAAACTTAAGCTTTGGACCACCCCTCTTGGGTAATCCTCATCCAAAAAACAAGTCAAAAAACCTTTCTTGGTTAATCTTCATCCAAAAAACAAGCCAAAACATAAATCAAAGTCGTAAGACTACTTTTTGTTGTGCCGTCTTTCCTAGTCTACTATTATTATATTATTAGAGTTTTTTCTAGAAGCGACAGTTCATACAAAGAAATGGAATCATATAGAGCTAGAGCTGTAAAAAGCACTTCAGACTTTATTTTCCAACACTTTCCAGTTATTATCGTTATTAGTTTCTTTGTCATATCAGTCACAACTTGCGGTCCGACATGCACACAATTTGCACACAAATTTGTGTTGTTTAACAAAGAAGTCTTCTGTAGAATAAAGAATTCATGTTTTTTTTTTTATCAAAATAAGTATGCAATAAATAATTTGTGTGTAATTTTTTTGCACATCTGGCCACATCTTTAGTTAAATATTATAACTTATTTTAATTGTCTTTCAAGTACTGCCGTGTTCCGTCCAGTATTCGTATTATTTCCACTTTACTCGCACTTTCGCTCGCCTTCTTCTGTTTGATATCTGCTGTGAATTTCATCGGAGTCGCACGAAAAGGAGCGAAACAGCTATATAGAGTTGCCATGGGACGATGCTAGAGTGGAGTAATGCTTTCCTTGCCTTAAACTCCCATTTCATGTACAAATTGCCGGTTTTATTTCTTTCTATCTCTCTCTCTCTCTTCTTCTCTATATAAGTATATATTTATCACACACACACACACACATTTACATGCAAACACTGCCTCTAATTATTTTTGAAAACCAAAAACAAAACTCTTTCTTGCACATGCCTCTGTTTATAGTTTTCTCTTTCATATTTATTTACACAAATCTTAAACTAATTATTTTTGAACTTTTCTTTTTTTTCGTTTTCTTTTACTCCGATGTAGTCAATACTCAAATTCTGAGAACAGTACTACTAAATCTTAGGCTTAGCTTATCAATATATAGATATACATACATATTTAAAAACAAAAAGAACCAAATACAACAATCAAAGTAAACCAAAACCTACAAAGAGCTTAAATTAAGTGAAACAATAAATGAAACTAATTTAGTGATACGTGTGTGGAGCGAAATAAAAAGAATTGAACCAAGACACAGGTGATCTGGTCCGTTTGGACCGGAGTCTATCGGTCGGTCGCAGAGTGTGCGGACTGTGCTGGGATTCTGGAGCAACAGATACATAATGCCAACTCCAGCTCCAACTCCATGCACTCTTCTGCCTCGCTCACTCTTTCTCTCTCTCTCTCTAACTCTCCTCCTTTGTCGTTCGCTCGCTCGCTCGCGTGCTCAATCGCTCCTAAGCCTTGTGCCTGTGCCGCCTGAGCCTGTGTGCAGCCGGAACGTTGTCCTACCTAACTACTACTACTACTCTAAGCACCCTAGACCACTACAACCACCACAACCACCACCACCACATTCAAATACTTTCTAACAATTTGGAGGTGAGTTTTGCGTTTTTTTTTGTTGCGTCTTTTGCATTTTTCTTTTCTGTCATTTTTCGTTTATTTTTCTGCTTTACTCTCTCTCTCTCTCTCTTTCAATGTGTGACTGCGTTTGTCGCCGACATTCTCATGGTTGAGGTTCCCATAATTCATTGCGAGTCTAACGCTCAGCTCATCATCTCATTTCCATTTCTGCAGAGCTGGCATTATGTCGAAGAAACTTCCGAAACTCATCTGTCTTTTAAGATGATACGATCACATAGAGTTGCAAGTCCCCTTAGGGGTAAACTAACAAGTCTAGCTGGAATTATAACTACAAGTATGTAGCTTCTTTAGGCTTCGGCCCGTCAGCTCAGCAGGCCTTGTCTCATTTGTCATTTGGCATCGGAGGCTTCCACACATTTAACACTCCACAAAAATTAAAAACAAAAATTTACAAATCTATATTTAAAAAAAAGGAAGGAAAAAACAGACAACACATTCCCACGACTCACTCGTCATTCCCAAACTCGATCTCTATTCGTCAGGGCAAATCAAATTATTAGAACAAACAAATTCTCGCTTTTCGTTTCCTCTACAAATTCTTTGTGCATTTCCGTGTATTGTTTTAATAATATTAGAGTTAGTTTTTTATGATTTTGGAATTTTGGATTCAAGTTGTAAGTTGTTTGAACGCGTCATGAGCACCAACAGGAACAATAATTATGGCCAAGGCCGCGTCGGCGCCGCCACCGGCGGTGGTGGTAAACAAAAAATAGAGCCCCCCAAGTCACTGAACCTGCTAAGCAAGACACTTCCCCTGATGGCCGCCACACCCCCACAGTTGCGCACGCCCCGTAAGTTTCTGTTCAATGGCATGAGGTTCGAGACAAGCGCTCTGCCTACCCCGAGGGGGCGCGCCAGCTCCGTGGGCAGGAGCGGGCCTGTCAGCGTCTCAGCTCGCGGTGGCTCCGAGGCAGGCGACGGCGGCCGCCACCTCCGTCCAGTGCCGACGTTCAGCGGCCTCAAGGCGCCAACGCCCAAGTCGTCGCCACCATCGATGCGAGGGAGCAGTCTCTCGAACAAGATGCGTCAGCAATTGCGCGAACCGCGCCCCTCAATGATGTACACAAGCAACTTGCAGCAGGAGTTTGCGGGCGGCGAACGAGCCTCCATCTACAGAGGATCTGCCGGAGGAAGCACTGGAGGCGGCGGCAGCTACGCTGGCATTAGCCACCTGCAGGATCGCCCGAATGAGTCCTTCCGGCATCTCAGCAAGTACATCAAGACCCCACCAGCCCCAGTGCCAGTTGCCAGCGCAAATGAGGACTACAATGATCCGTTCGAGGATGATGATAACGACAACCACAACTATGCTAAGGACAATGAGGGCGATGATGAGGATAATGTGGGGGGTGCGAGTGGTGGGGGTAGGAACACAGCTACGTCCTACTCGCCCACATACATGCTGCGTGAACGTCTGGGATCCCTTAAACTTGGACGGGGGGGCGAAACAAAAATGGATTACATAACACTGATGGGGTATTTGCTCGGCTGTCTGGCGTCCAACATGCTGTTCTTCCTCTGCTGGTACTTCAATTGGTTGAAGGAGCAGGTTGTGAAGCTGCGCAAGCATTTCCTGGGCCACTCCAATCTGTGGGAGTTCTTTGACTTCGAGGACACCACACGCTACTCCACACAAACCAAACTGATGCTCGCGCCCATAATACTGGTCTGTAGTCTCCTCTATTGCATCGTCAATATGCTGCATCTGCTGGTCAAGCTGGTCCGCTCGGATGTCCCTCGCACCGTCGTGGACTTTGTGCAGCGCGTTGGCAGCAGCACCGCCTTCGCCACCGCCCGGAGCAAATGGTCGTAGATCGTAGACCACCCACCACCGTGACTTGACGCAACCCTCAGCAAAAAGCCGCCTTTCCAAAAGTATTCGAATCCACGTTCCCAAAATCTCTTAACCGCACAAACGGTTCCATCAATAGATTATAGATATGAGTAATTAATAAATATCGAAATTCGAGTCAGCTGGGAAAAGCTCAGCCAAATACCTTGACGCTAACGCTCTAATTATTTGTTCAATATTTGAAGGATTCTCACTAACATAAATTCCTAACAGATTCCTCGTCCCGCTCTCCCACTCTCTCTCTCTTTCTTTCTCTCTCTGCCTCTCTCTCTCTCTCTCTCTCTCTCTCTCTGCTGAAGAGTGAAGCGTGGGGCTGCGAGCGAAATGTTTTATGAAGCAGCAGCAGCTCTAGAGAAAAGTGCTGGGAAATGCAGAAGAAATGTTCTTGTATAAAATAATATTAAAATGATCTTCTAATCGGATAACCTCCTAACCCCAAAGTGTGTTCTATTTGTGTAGCAATGTCGATAGAGCAGAAGGATTGTCAAGGATTGTCATAGTTGCTCTCCTTCTGTCATTCTCTCTATCTCTCTTTCTGCCCCCTCCTCCTTACTAAACTCTCTCTGTCTCTCTTAACGCACGTCTCCAACCTGCCTCTAACCCGGATGGTCATCTTCGTGTTGCCTGTAGCCTAACGCTCCTCACACCCACACACACACACACACACACAGACACACTCACCAACATATAAACCCGCTCACCAGCGACCCCCCTTCTCGCTCTCACACATACTCGTTTGTCGCCCCATCTGTTGTCTAACGGCGCTCAGTTACGTGTTAACATTTCGTTGTTAATTTCTGGTAATCGCGGTCGCCCACCTTCGTGTCAATTAACCTGCGCGCCCCATTGGTGACGTACTTACAACTAACCTCATGCATCTTCTTCATGCCATTCCACGCGTCTACCACAGGTCGAACCCGGGCACGCCCACGCAACCCCGACGACCCGACTTCATCGGACTCAATGCCCAGGCAGTGCAGCAGCAGCAGCAACAACAACAACAACAGCAGCAACAACAGGCAGCGGCAGCCGCTGCCGCCGCCTATTACGAATACACGAGCGGACTGCCGCCCCAGCACCCTCAGGCCCCGACTATCCAGCAGCAGCAGCAGCTTCTACTCCAGCAGCAGCGCGTCATGCTGCAACACCAGCAACAACAGCAACAAGGTAAGCAAATCATGCTTCTTCTTCTTCACGAACTATATGATGAGTAATCGAGTCCGTACAGCACTCATCGATTCATCTGGAATCTAGAGTTTATATGTACGAGTGTCTAGGCTATTGAAGTCAATCTTTCCGATAAATCCATTTGCAATGCCTACCTCCGTTTATTCCGAACTTCCCCCAAAATCAGTGTATTATATAACATGATGAGTCCAAAAGAGACCTTTTAGACTCGATATAAACCTTATTACAGGATGATTTCAATTCTGAAGACTAGTATTTGGGATTAGCAATACGCCATTTCAACCCGGACTGTATTGTTTGCGCTTGTGGGAACAGTTAAGAGATCACTTAAGAGATGAACTCGTCTTTCATCTTTGGTTTTAAAATTTGTATGTGCTTACAACCTTTCCCTTTGCAAAGCATTCCCCAGTATTACACTAGGATCAGGGCACTATAACATTCTTATAGCTGCTGTTGAGTCCAAAACAGACCTTTTAGTTGAACCGCATTCTAGGACGATTTCAATCCTGAAGACTAGTATTTGGGATTAGCAATACGCCATTTCAACCCGGACTGTATTATTTTCGCTTGTGGGGACTGTTAAGAGATCACTTAAGATGCACTTAGAGATGCACCCGGCTGCCATCTATGGCTTAATAATACAGGGATTGCCAACTAAAGCAATTCTTTCCACATCCTCCACACAGCTGACATATGGCTAATGGCTATATGTTAGTAGATATAGATGAAAGGGAAATCTGAAGAGATCAGCACTTGAATAGGCTAGGAATTGAACCTAATTCACAAAATAATGGATTCGACACATATTCGTTAGACAGAGTTTTCATTGTCAGCTCCCGAGATATTTTAGGAGAGAGGTAGGAGGCTGAACCCATACTCCAGTACTCATCATATAGTTCTCTGAGAACCTCTTCCATCGATTACCTCGCTAACATGTGCCTTTCCCCTCAACAGTGGCCGCCTTGCAACAGCAGTCGCACTCGCAGCACGCGGCGTTGGCGCAGAATGCGTATGGGGGCAGTCCCCAGCGGCGATTCCTCTCCGAGGGGGAGCTGGTCAGGCAGGGAGCCGGCGGCAATGAGCTTTCGTATGCGCGCTCCAACAACACGGTGGACAACATACGGGAGCTGGCGGGCAGTCCGCAGCGAGGCGTCTACATGTGGAAGGACACGTCGCCGGGCTTCGGCAGCGCCGGCGGTGTTGGTGGTGTTGGCGGCGTTAGCGGCGTCGGCGGAGCACCGACGGTGGTCAGTCTTGGCAGCAGTGCTGGCACACTGCCAAGCAGCAATACGCCCGGTGGTGGCGTCATGCAGCAGCACGCCCAGTACATCACGGCCGGAGGTGGTGGGGCGCATCCGCTCATCATGACGCACTCCCGCCTGCAGGACTATGCGGCCCAGCAGCAACAACAGCAGCAGGCGGTGGCAGCCGCTGCAGCGGCTGTGGCAGCAGCTTCCTCATATCATCGCTCCAACCCCACAAGTCCCACCACCATGCCACAGACCTCGGCTGCTCAGACCTACATACTGCGCTATGGAGGCGGCGGCGGCGGCGGAGGCGTCGCCACTGGCCTGCCGGGCATGGCCACTGCAAGCGGCAGCAGCGGCAACATTGCCGGCAACAGCAGCTGTGGCAGCATCAGCATGCCAGTGGTGAGCAATGCCGGCGGCTATCAGCCCCAGCTGCGTGGCGGAGTCGCTGTCTTTCCGCCCAACCCCCTTGCCGGCGTCAATGTGAGCAGCGCGGCCGGCACGCTGCAGCCACAGCCGTCGCCACAAATCAAGCGCAAGCAGACGCCCACACGGCCCATGAGCTTTGTGCGGGCCCTCGAGATGACCGACTCCATGGAGATGCAGACGATGGAGCAACAGCAACAGCAGCAGGTTGGACGCAACAACGGCGGTCTTCCCAGCGGGGTGCCAACCAGTGTGGTGGCACAGAACGCTGCAGCGGCAGCGGCGGCGGCAGCAGCAGCCGCCGCTAGCCAAAGCAACTCGAACGCCTCCAACTCAGCGACGCCGGATCGCGCCAGTATCTACGACATGAACTACGAGATCTCCGTATAACCCGTGGTTGTGCCTGTTCTCCTCATGCCACCCGCCTCAGCAGCCGCAGCAGCAGCGGCAGCGGCAGCCTGCCAGCAACAGTTGCACCTTCAGCAGCAGCAGCAGCAGCAACAGCAGCTGCAACGCGCCTTCTTGGAGCAGCAGTCGGAGCCGGCAGCCTACGCGTCTGTGCCAGTGCTGGCTGCTGCCACATGCCATGCCCCAAGCAATGCCAGCAGCCACAGCCACCACAACGCCGGTGGCGGTGTCGGTGGCGGTGGCGGTAGCAGTGGCACCTTCAAGACGCAACCACCCAACAAGCGCAAGTTCTCGACATTCTTCTAAACGCAACTCAAGCTGTCTGCCACTGTCTGGACCATAAAAACAACAACAACAACAACATCAACAACAAACTAAGCAACAATTTCCCAGTTATCCAGTTTCTTTTTTAATTGAAAAACCAGTGTGTATAGTATATAATATACTATATACATGTATTATGTACAACTACTGTGTATGTGTTAGCTAGCAGCAATGATCAGCTTTTTAATCTGTTTATTATTTAAATGCGAATGCCTTGCATGGCTGCAATATAGATGTGTGTGTGCGGCGCCGCTGTGTTAACTGTTAAGTTAATAGCAATCTAGTGTTAGGGGTTTTTATCTTGATTGATGCTAGATTACGATTAGATATATATATTTATATATATACAAGTATATAGATATATGTATGCATCATACCTTGCGATCTAAGTCTTTCTTTTAAAGGATTGTTATTTTTTATTTGATTTTTTATTAACGTTTAACATCATCCACACACACATACACCCACACACGCACACACACACACACACTGATGCATACATATACATATGTATATGCATGCATACATATATTATATAAACAAATTTAAATCAAATCGAATCGAATTGTAAACAAAACACACACACACACAGCTCCCAAAATAAAAATGTTTCGGAAAAGCTAAAAAAGGAAACTAATTTGGAGTCGAGAATAACTTGTATGCTTGTACAACATGTGTGTGTGTGTGTGTGTGTGTGTGTGTGGCTCTCTACATACATGCATACATACATACATACATATATCGAAGCACCAAGTAACTTGGTCATAAAGCAAAATGAAACCACAATACAATGTACATATGATTATAATTAAATTGTTGTTGCTAAGAAGAAGAAGAAGGAGAAGAAACAAAAACCAATATAATTATATAAAGATATATAGCTATACATATAAAGAGAGAGAGAATGCCTAGAATATTGAGAGGGACAGAAAGAGAGATAGAGAGAGAGAGAGAGAGAGAGAGAAAGTTGTCCTCCCATTTGAATGCCACCTATTTCTGTTGCCCCCGAGTCCAGTATCGTCTAACAATAAGTACCATAGTCTGTGTAACTTCAATGTCGTCCACTTCTCTATTCATATTATATTTGTATTTGTATGTATTGTACATAGGCGTATATGTATATGTATATCGAGCCATTGATGCCATCTATAATCTGTCCGGGTCCCACACACTCCCACTCACATTCACAAACAGACACACACATACACACACGGGAATAGGGAGGGCAGGTGTTTCGATATCAGATGCGACTGTTTAACTAACTGCCGGAATCGGAATCGGTTAATGCTTATTCCTAAGCTTTGTTTGTTATTATATTTTTAAGTCAATTCACATTTATTTTACTCGTAGTGCTGTCAGGAGTGGTTTGATTTCTCAACCAGAGACATAGGCGAAAAGACTAGAAACCAAATAGCATTATGAACCAAGGCAACCCCACCCCCAGAAGCTTGACACCCCGACGAACCGACATCGATTAGAGAGAAATGAAAGAAGAAGAAGGACACACACTTCAATCCAAATTTTCAACTCAAAGGCATGTATTTATTTCCACGCAAGGCTTAAAGCAAAAAGGGAAACTGAAACTGAAAGAAATTATTGTATAACTATATACATACTATATAATAAACAAATGAATCAAGTTAGCTATCGTATTAAATTGGTTATGTGTCTGTAACTGCATGTTGTAAAATATTTATAGATATATATATATATAGTATATGTTTTTTTTTTGCCCCCATATTCTTGCTTAAACAAAACAACAACAACAACAAACACGAAATCCACGGAATAACGATACGAGCGTAAAGCGCTCTCTCGTGACGAGCGCAGGATTGAAAACAAAATTATATTTATAAATATGTATGTATACAGAAATCCGATATTGGAGCAACAAGAACGGTAATTGTAAGTGTTTTTGCTAAAATATTAATTAAACAATTGACAACAAACGAAAACAAAACAACAAATTAAATACAATTATGAGCAAAATGAATAATGTTTAAGCACATACACACACACACACACACACACACCAACACACACACACACATACAGATATATAAATAGCATTAGAGACAAACATTGTTTTAGATTTTTATACCAAATTTAATTAATTTAATGTGTAAAGCCGTGTTGTTTAATTTTTGTATCCTCATATTGCGCCACACACTATTCATTTCAACAACCGAGTGCTACTCAAAGAGTGTCTGTGTCTGTGTCAGTATTTGTATCTAAACCTAAATCTGAACCGGGGTCTCTGCTTAGATGTGCATACAATAATGAATGCTGCTGCAGACGCGAATGCAATTGATTAAGTTTAAACGTTAATGTTATGATTGCCGGAACAACAAAGTAACCTTTATAAATGATAGCAACTAAATCAATGCGTAGCCTCCATACAAAAATTGTAGTATAAGAAGATGATGGTGAATGCGAGTAAGCAAACAATTGAGTACTAATATTTAACGTACGAGTATATACAATACAAATATTAAAACCAGGCTATTATATATGAAACAAACTGAATGAATACGAAATCAACAACAGCAACAACAACAACAAAAGTGTAACTTGTGTAAACGCAAAATAAAAATTGAGATTTTTAACTAAAAACGCATCTGTTGGTTTTTTGTTTTTTTCGCCCGCCCAGCTGACAATGCGAGCGAGTTCCAAACCAAATGCGAGTCTCGGTTGGGCGCAATACCAGGCGATCATAAATCGGCAGCTGGGCGACTCTCAAAAGTAAACAAAACCTTATTTGTAAACAAGCCGCTCTCTCTGCAGTTGTAACATAGCTGTTGTTTTGCGTCCGCCGCTCTCATAATTTCTATATATATGCGTCTCTTTCGCACCTGAGGATAGACTGGCAGCTGTGACTTATCAGTTACCTATATATGCATCTCTTTCGCACCTGAGGTTAGACTGGCAGCTGTGACAATCCGTTGCTTTGTCTTGCCTATATTAGCGTCTCTTTCCCACCTGAGGCCTGACTTAGCTAATTGGTGGCTCACTGCAGATCTCAATACGCTTGTTTTCATTTATGTTCGCCTGGTCGCCCACTAAAGTAAGACTTGAATTTTGTATGGGAAGTTCGAAACCAGGCCAGGTTCATCCGACTCCGGAGATTTGAAAACATCGCCAGTTCCATACGAAACACGAGTCTCGGTTGGGCGTTATACCAGGCGAACATAAATCAACAGCTAGAAAACTCTGAAGAGTAAACAAAGCATTATTTGTAAACAAGCCGCTCTCACCGCAGCTGTTACTTATCAGTTGTTATGTCTTGCATCTCGCACTCACACAATTTGTATATATAAGCGTCTCTTTCGCACCTGAAGCTGCTGTTGATCCCAGTATGCTTGTTATCATTTATGTTCGCCTGGTAGTTCATTAAAAATCCAACTCGCATTTTGTATGGAGGCTGGGCCAATTTTGAAAATTCGGACTCAAGCTCCGACTCCATACAAAATGCAAGTCAGACTTACGTGCTGTAACAGGCAAACATAAATGAAAACAAGCAACTTCATATCAGCAGCAAGTAAGCACGCTGCGCCGATCTAAGCTTCAAGAGCGAGAGGCAAGCAACAGTAATAGCACCAAGAGCGAAAGAGATGAATATACATACATTGCGAAAGCCAATGTAAGCAAATAGGTAGATAGCAAACGACGTAAAACAAAACAACAACAAAGTCAGCCGTTTTTTCATGCACGTGTCATTGTTTACATCTGCGAATCCACTTACAGCTGATTTATGATCGCCTGGTAATGCACACAAGCGAGACTCGTCTTAGTATGAAACCGGCGATCTTTTCAGACGGCAGGCACACAGCGAGCTCCACCGTCGTTTTTAAATGATATGGGAACGGTAAGAACGGTGATTAAAAAATGCAGCATAATATTAATATTTTTAAATAGTTTTTATTGATTTTTTTTGTGTTTTTATTTATACACATACAACAGATGCATATAATTTTGCTTTTATTGTTCGCTTAAGTGTTACATTAAATTGTTTAATTGTTGATCTTTGTCAATAATACAATGATGTTTAATATAATATGCGATACATAGATGCGTGTTATATTGTATTATATTGTTTGTTTGTCTGTGTGTAATTGTTTGTGTGTATGCTCACAAATTCCGTAATACGCGCACACATACATATGTAGTTTTATATGCTTTACAAACATATCAAATATTTTGAAGGATATTTTGTAAATAATTTAGCTAAATACGCTGCACAATAATTCACATTTAGGCATACACATATATATATTTATACGTATGTATTTATTGTTAAACATAATGTGTGCTTCTTGTTTATTATTTCATTTTTTATTTTTGTATAAGTATATATTTATCAACTGTGTATAAATTTGTGGCTCGTTTGAGTATAATTGTGTACACATACATATATATAGTATATATTCGTAAATATCGTAGAAAAAAAAAACACATCCGATCCACAAGTGAAAATACCAGCCAACGGCTTTTTATTTGGTCTCGGATTTCGAGTGCGTTCTTAAAAAATAAAAGCTCATACCAACTACTTAGTTACAAACTTTTTCTTGAATTGGCAACGCAAGTGTTTGGCCAGAGTTTGCTGCAGCTACATACATATACAAGGTATTTATGCATATATATATATGGTATATAATATATATATATATAAAAAAAATGCTTGTATACAAATACGTTTATCAAAATTAATTCTAAAACAACTTCCATTTGATCGCAGGGGTGCATTATGTACTCGAACTGGAACTCGTATTCGAACTCATTAACCGCTTACGGTTCGAGGCCTTGCATTGTTCAGATAATTTTGATAATCGGCCAACAGTTTTTTGTTCCCTTCTCCCTGCACCTCCTCATCTTCGTCCTCCTCATCCTCCACCTGTTGGACACCTTCCTTAGCTTGGCTTTGCCGCTTAAATAATTTTCTTATATGATACGTATGCATTCATACTATATGTAGATGCAATATTTTCGCGCGTGGCTTATCTTTTACAAAAAAAACAAATATATATTTGGGATATTCATTTAGGCTTAAGAAAAACTGTATCCTTATAACTAGACCTATCCATAGGTGTACACAAAAAAATTAAAAAAAAAACATATTAAAAAAAATGAAGTGAAGAAAAAACTCTTTAAATAAGGCGCAGTTTTTAAGATTTGCTATATAGAGAAAAATTGATGATATATAGTATGTTTGTGTTATGCTCGTCCGAGCAATACATATTAGAGAGTACATATAGACATATAGGTATATATATGTATATATATATATATACCAACAGATGTGTGTATGGCTAAATTATAACATAAGTAATACATTAATGTTAATTATAAGATAGATAGATTTAATTATTATATACATAGAGATTGATCGATCGGTAGAACCGCCTTCGGATAGGCTTAAAACGGGCGATTCCTCGTATACTAAAGAACTTTTAGGACATGTATAGATAAGTATGTACGTGTGTGTGTGTTTGTGTGTGTATATCAAATACGTTTACATGATGGAGCCAGATAGTTACGAGGTCGTATAATTAGTGTGTGTTCTATAATTATAACTGTTTCCACTGTCGATTTATACGAAGCAGGGAAAGTGCGGTTCAAGACGTACTTTAAATGCATTTTCCGTTTTCCGATTCGAAACTTATATGCAGGATGCAAATAGACATTTCGAGCTTCGCATAAGCCGCATTACATAGATGGGTTGTGTAATGGCCCGATTTTATATAATTTGTGTATTTGCGCGTGTGATCGGATTGGGATTACGGCCGGAGTCTTGCCTTAGCTGTGCCAAATATTGAGTGGTTGCATCAAAAACAAAAATTAGAGTATCCAATAAACACGATTGAAAGCTTATGATATTGTTTACAGGTGTGTAGGGAATTTAACATTTTATCAAATATGGGTTATGTTGGAGTGTTCTGCTCCGAGCACGGGTATTGTTCTCAATACATATGTGGGTATATTTGTAGATCGAAAATAGTTTTAGCAACGTTACATAATCCTTTGCTGATCCCTTGATCACTGATCCGCTGATCCGCCGATCCGCCGATCCACTGTTCGAGCTTTTCTGTTGGGGCGTCTAGAACTCTTTTAGGCTGCCTCCGCGCTTCAGCTTGGTCAATCGCTTCAGACTGGCGCTCAGCATGCCACCAGAACCGCCACCGCCACCGCTTCCACTTCCACTTCCGTTACCACTTCCAGTTCCGCCTCTGCACCCACCGCCGGCACCGGCGCTCCGTTCTCGATGCACGAAGGTGCCCCTGAAGCGCACCCGACTGCGTCGCTGCTCACCCACGCGTCGCCAGAGCTCGGTGAGTGGCGGGTGGTGCTGGTGCGGTTGCTGCTGGAGGGTGCAGCAGCACACCAGCTCCTGAGATTATAATTTCTTCTCCCAGACCACTATATGGGCGTCGTTGGAGTTCGCAGTCAGGGGTGAAGAGCAGCTGCTGCCGCTACCGCCCCCACCAACAGCACCGCTGCTGGCGCTGCCTCCTCCACCGGACTGTCCGGCATTCTTGTGGCCTGGCGAGCTGGCGTTGCTGTTGTACCACACATGGCGCCAATAGCCGCGTCCCCCCATCAGGGTGATCACTGTACGTGGTCCGTCGGCATTTGCCTGCTGCTGTTGCTTTGAGTTCTGCTTCTGTTTGCGCTTCAGTGTGGCTACAGCGGCGGCGGGTGGTGGATCCGCGGCATGAGCGGCGTGTAGTAGCTTGAAGCAATCCTCAGACTTGGGTGTGCTGTGCTGCTGTTGTTGTTGGTGGATGTCCGCTGTGGTCATGAGGCCGTTCTCAGAGATGTTGCCGAGATCGCTGCCTGTGCCTGAGGTCTTGTGGCTGGCACTGCTGCTGTTGCGGGAGACAGAGCGCCCGCCGAACAGTCGGATGCCCATGCTCTCCTCGCTGCCCGAGGAGGTGTACAGACTGGAGGACTTGGAGTCCACCGACCAGTTGGAGAGGTCTAGAGATCGCGGTCGCGAGGCCTTCATGCGCAAGCGCCGGTCCAGAGTGCACACCTTCCCGGGTATGGCAGCTAGTTCGGGATCCGAGCGTCGTATGCCTTCGTACATCATATCCATTAAATTTCCCTGGGCACCCTCCTCGGCATCGTAGTCCTCCTTCACAAAGATTAGCTTGCCATACAGGCCATAGACATCGCAATAGCCATGCTCCGCTCCGTGTTGCGACAATGTGCTCGTATTGGAGTGTAGGCCAGATCCTGTGGCCGTCGATCCAAGCCCCCGGGGCAGGGTCTTCGACATACGGGAGGCCGCGTCACCGGTCAGCTCACGGAAACGCTTGCGCGGAAAGGCGGGCGAATTGGCGAGCGAGGCGCGTATCTTGGCGGTGAAGCTCTGGTCCAGCGAGTGTTGTTTGTCCAGCTTGGAGCTGCGGGGCGAGCTCGCGGCCGAGTCGTGGGCATCGTCTTTGGGCAAATCGCGTCGCAAGATCACTGTGCTCTCATCCAGATCCGATTCGCTGAGCTTTTTGGGGTCTGCATCGATGGCGGGCAGCTGCAAATCATCGCCCATGCTGGGCACAATGGGAGTGGGCACAGTAGGGGGTGCCCCAGTGGGGGGCTTGTAGGCCGGATACACTTTGGGAATGAGCGGCAATAGGAAGGTGATGGGTCCGAAGTGGGCGTGACAGGACATGTTGATGCCACCGCTAATAATGGGCACACCTTCAAGTCGCGGCAGCGGTATGGTCACCGCAATTCCCACATTGGTGCCCACCCAGAGGAGGCCCTTGCAGGCGAGCAGTGCCGTCACATAGATGGAGCTGTTGTTCAGGGGCTGCTCCTTCTTGCCATCGTTGCGCAGCACGCTGGACGCAATGTTAATGTCCTGCAGATGCTTGAAGCTCTCTGTGTGATACAAGCACAGCATGGTGGAGTTCTTCAGAGAGATCCAAAGGCCGATACCCGAATGGGCCATCAGATTCACCTGCTGACTGGCCCCGTGCTGCACCTCAAAGCTCTTCTGGATCTCCCCGTTGAGTGCGTTCAGCACATAAACGCGATTGCCGCAGGCGGCATAGATGTTCATATTGATGGGCAGCAGACTGGGCACCGGCAGTTGTGAGTCCGAGCCAAGTGTCACCACTTGAGGGGGATCGCGTAACAACCAGACCCCATCGTAGGACCGCCTGTAGATGAGCAGCGTGGCATTATTGAGGGCGACATAGACGGCATCGAAGTGATAGAGGATGCGTGTCACGGCGCCCGGCACCGTGTAGCAGCCCAGTTGCTCTTCTTGCTCTGGATTGCGCGCCGAATAGACGAACAGTTTGCGACTGTCCGTGCCCAGCCAGACGAGATCGCCCAGCAGACTGCTATGCTCCTCGCGCGTCTTACACTGATCCAGCCCCTTCACAAACTCCAGTGCCGTCACTTGCATCTCGAATAGATCAAAAGCACCCGCCTCCCGCAGGTTACCCGCCTGTTGCGGGTGCTGCGCCAGAATGCTGATGTGCGATGATGTCCCATCACTGCTGCACACCCACAAATAGTTCTGCTGCTTGTGTCGCCGTCTCGCGTTGCCAGTCTGTTTGGTGTCGTTGGCGATGCTATAATAACAACCACAGCGCACCTAAGTGGGGAAAAAGGAACGATAAAATAAACGCTTATTATGTTGGCTCAGAAATGATGTAAGTCTTCCACTTACCTCGGTTTGATGCTGTGACCTATAGACGGGCATCGCCTTGACAAAGAGGGGCATTTTGCGTGACTGCTTTTGCTGCACTGCCTCCCGGAGCTGCTGCTGTTCGTGGGTGTGCTGCGGCGCTGGGTGGGAGTACGACGACGGAGTCTGCATGGCCGATGAGGACTTCTCCCAGGCGGGAGAGTTGTTCGGGTCGAGTGCCAACTGGGCCAGCCGTAGCTCTGTGATCCATTCCTTCTTCACACTCGGCGTTTGGGTTTGGAATGTGAAGGTCTCCTCCTTTCCGGACTTGTGACGAGCGACCAACTGCAGTACACACGAGTCCACCCAGGCCATCTCCTCGTCCTTGCGCTGTATGGATCCCTGAATAGTGTTCAGCACGTTGCGTGTCGTATTGAGACTAAGCTCCTTATAGGTGCCCTTCAGGTTGCCCACCATGTCGTGGATTCGCGAGATAAGTTCGTAGTCGTGCATCAGAGTGCTCATCTCATTGCACAAATTGTCGGCCCCATTTGTCAGCTGAGCCGCCGGTGAGTCGATGGTGCTACTGAATCCATAGCCAGACGCTGAGTGACCATGAACCAGAGGCAAAGTGCTGTTGGCGTAGCCGCTGGCGTTTCCTGAACTACCATTAGACTTGAGACTGCCACCACGATTCAGACCTGCGAGGAAATAAACAACATAACGGTAGGTGAATGAAAAACGCGACTCGATAGAATTGTGACTAATCAAGACTATAGGTTTCTGCAATAACTCTCTTAACACCTATTTTCTTACCTGCTGTCAGTATTCTGGAGAGTGTGGCCGATGTGCTGTTGTCGACTATTTCGACATCGTTGACGGGGAACATCCACTTGAATGTGAGCTTCTCGGTGGCGCCAAAGTCATGGGATTGTTTTGGGGCCACAGACACACAAATGACTTTATCGTTGAGCAGCAGCAGACGCCGCTGCTTGGACTTGACAATGAAACCCGCCTGGTTGAATTCCATGTGTGTAACGTTGTCCTCACGGAGCAGATAGCGCGGCCTGTTGCCATCGCTATTTAGCGATCGGGTATTGAAGGTGCCACTAATATGGCCGAGCATCTCCTTGAAGGCTTGATACTGTTCCGCCTCGCGCTTGCTCTCATTGAGCAGCTCGGCCAGCAGCTCCAGCTGCGAGAGCGCCAACTGCAGAGACATACGATCGTGATGGCCTTGCGGTGTATATTTGAGCAGATCCTGTAGAAAGAGTATGAACTGTGGGAAACGCTGAACCGGCTTCACCATTAAGCCGAAGAAGGAGAGCCGATCGTGGGCACTGATCTGCTTGACCTTGAAGAAATCGGCCAGCGCCGATTTGCGTTTCTCCTCCATTTTGGCAAGCTCCATAGCGGCCGAGAAGTTGTTGATGAACCCGGAGTAGATCTCAAGTAACTGCGGCTTGCCAAACGCACCGACAAAGCAGTCGCCAATCTTCTCATCACGATCCCAATTGCGCACGCACTCGGCGAGAGCGATGCGAAAGAGCTTGTGCGAGTGTAGAATGTCGGGCAGGCAATGGAACAGTGTGGCAATTTTTACAGGATTCAGGACTGGTGGGCTGCACTCCTCGAGTGGTTTCTTGTAATCCTGATCCAAGGAAAGAGAGAGAGAGAGAGAGAGAGAGAGAGAGAGAGCACACTTGGATTAGACAAAATCTTCAAAGGATGTGTGCCTATATATGTATACGATATGATATGATTTACCAGGATTTAAACGCAGTTTTTCAGGCAGTTGTCGGTTAGTTTCGGGTTTTATGTTTTATCTTTTGTGTGTGTACAAGTATGTGTGTATTATGTTTCTCTTTTCTTGCTCGCTTACTAATTTTGCAACTACTCGTAATTTGCACGGTTATTTGGGATGTCGAGAGAGAGAGAGAGAGAGTGTGTGTGAGTGTGGTGTTTAGTGGGTTTATCATTTAAAGATACAATTTGCATGTTAGAGTTAGTTATGGCGGTGGTGATATATATTGATTGACATATGACGTGGGGTTTGGATGGCATGTAAAGAAATCAAATATGAGTTGTTATGAGTTTAAATTAGTAACTGGCATATACTATACATATGTAAGTAGTATGTACTCCTGCAAGTAGGGGCTAGATAAAGCAAAAAATGGAGGAGGAGAAGGCGAGCAAATTTAAATATTTGTAAGAAACTAAATATTGTGCACAGGGTGGGGGATGGGAATCTCAGTGATCCAACGAATAGCAGTACCAATTATACTATATGCTTGAGACAGTGAAGGACTCTTCCCAATGTCGTGCGGCCTATTCGGAAATTTCAAACAATGAAGCATTTCGGCTGGAAAGTCTCAGAAGCGATAATCTGCTGATGTTTAAGGTTATCTCTTAATTCTAATTCTAAAAGGCTTCGATCGATATCCGAAATAGTGAAGCTATTGTACAAATGCCATTCAAATCATCTGAATTTCGTATGAATATACGAGTATGGTTGATCTTTGAAATAGTTTTCAACTGGCCATCGTGTCAGAAGCTTATATATTTATTTATTTAACAGCTCCAAAAGTTACTCCAGACAATTTTCAGACTGATTTGATTTGATTTTTCAAAAAATATGGCTCCAGACGAAGTAGAGGAGGCACCCCATCCGAGCGGCGGGTCTGAGCCCGATCTGACATTGGACAAGAACAAGCTGCGACTGTTGGCCGATACATTCGGTAAGGTGAACTTCTATTTGCAGAACGGTGTCGACCATGGCTATCTGAAGCTAAATGGGCCGGGCCTGTACAAGTTCGAATGGCAGCGGGCGGCCAATGGTGAGGAGGAGAGTCTGCAGGCCGAGGAGGACGAGCACGTGCTGGTCAACAGTGAGTCCGACGAGGCAGAGGGACGAGTCAAGATGATCGATTTGATTGCCCTGAAGGGCATCGAGAATATTGGGCAGATCGAACACGACCCCACAACTGGAGAGGTGTACATGCTGGTGCCAATTGAAATCGATTTGGTATTAGATACGCCCGGACAGCATGAGGCCGAGAAGAATGAAGAAGACGATGGCGAAATCACAGAGTCTGCGACAACGCTTTGCGCAGACTCTGCCAACAAGGCTGAGAACCCGGAGACAGTTGGTCCTCAACCCCCATCCCAAGAAACGGAAAACTTGGAGCAAGGCTCGATGACCACATTGACGGATGACACGGATGGATCGATAGACGTTAAGCTAGTCGACGAGGACATTCAGAATGCATGGGAATACGAGACACGCATCTTTCTGGTGCCCCAAATGAGTCTAAACTTTAACATGTCCATCCAAAATGACGAGCCAGACAGTGCAAACAGTTGCCAGCAAATACCAGATGAGTGAGCACCTTCGACACTCCTCAACTACTGGACATATTATGGAGTTACCACATTAAATTCAAAATCACAAAAAAAAAAAAAACATTTATATCTTTCGGAGTTATGAATTATTAAAAATATCATCAAAGCTAAAGCCAACAATATTTATTGACAATGTGGGGAGAAAGGGGGTATTCAAAGAATTTATTGTACTCTGCATGCTGGAGCTCTGGCAACTCTAAAGTGGTGATTGTGGGAGAATCGCGAAATTCTTTAGCTCTAGCTTTAAATTTGAAATCTCCGTCTTCAACAGTTTTAGGACAGGCTCTGGCGATTGTGGGAGAATCGCGAAATTCTTTAGCTCTAGCTTTAAATTTGAAATCTCCGTCTTCAACAGTTTTAGGACGGGCTCTGGCGATTGTGGGAGAATCGCGAAATTCTTTAGCTCTAGCTTTAAATTTGAAATCTCCGTCTTCAACAGTTTTAGGCCAGGCTCTGGCGATTGTGGGAGAATCGCGAAATGCTTTAGCTCTAGCTTTAAATTTGAAATCTCCGTCTTCAACAGTTTTAGGACAGGCTCTGGCGATTGTGGGAGAATCGCGAAATTCTTTAGCTCTAGCTCTAAATTTGAAATCTCCTTCTTCAACAGTTTTAGGACAGGCTCTGGCGATTGTGGGAGAATCACGAAATTCTTTAGCTCTAGCTTTTAATTTGAAATCTCCTTCTTCAACAGTTTTAGGCCAGGCTCTGGCGATTGTGGGAGAATCGCGAAATGCTTTAGCTCTAGCTTTAAATTTGAAATCTCCGTCTTCAACAGTTTTAGGACAGGCTCTGGCGATTGTGGGAGAATCGCGAAATTCTTTAGCTCTAGCTTTAAATTTGAAATCTCCGTCTTCAACAGTTTTAGGACAGGCTCTGGCGATTGTGGGAGAATCGCGAAATTCTTTAGCTCTAGCTTTAAATTTGAAATCTCCGTCTTCAACAGTTTTAGGACAGGCTCTGGCGATTGTGGGAGAATCGCGAAATTCTTTAGCTCTAGCTTTAAATTTGAAATCTCCGTCTTCAACAGTTTTAGGACGGGCTCTGGCGATTGTGGGAGAATCGCGAAATTCTTTAGCTCTAGCTTTAAATTTGAAATCTCCGTCTTCAACAGTTTTAGGCCAGGCTCTGGCGATTGTGGGAGAATCGCGAAATGCTTTAGCTCTAGCTTTAAATTTGAAATCTCCGTCTTCAACAGTTTTAGGACAGGCCCTGGCGATTGTGGGAGAATCGCGAAATTCTTTAGCTCTAGCTCTAAATTTGAAATCTCCTTCTTCAACAGTTTTAGGACAGGCTCTGGCGATTGTGGGAGAATCACGAAATTCTTTAGCTCTAGCTTTTAATTTGAAATCTCCTTCTTCAACAGTTTTAGGACGGGCTCTGGGATTGTGCGTAAAGTAGCAGCTGGGAGGTAAGGAACTAAGATGATGTCCTACAGCGGTTGTACATGCAAGCTAGTATATACAGAGTATAGGAGGGTGTATTAGGGTCGGTGCTACTCACATTGACTAGACGTTGCAGTGTGGCCACATATGAGTTCTCGCTGTGGACAATGGCGGCCACAATATGTCGCCGCTTGAGCTGCTGCTGTGAGAGGCCCGGCGGGGCTGGCAGCAGCATCGGCACCACTAGACGATTATGGGCTGAGCGTGCGGTGCCATTGGCCCGACTACCCGGTGGTATTATCAGATCCAAATCGATGCGAGCATTGCTCGGAGCATCGTCATCTTCGTACTGGAAAGAAAGAGTGCCGATGGTAAAATCAGGATCCAGATAGAAAGATGCTGATTGAGGGCTTACCTCCGGCACACCGGGCATCATTTTACTGGCCCCCAGATTGGCCAGCTTCTGTGGCGATGCGGTGGCATCAGCTTTCGGGACCGTGCCAGCGACGGCGGTGGCAGCAGCACTGACTGCGGCTGCATCGGGTATGTCAAAGCTAGAGGCTGTCGAGTGACGTCCGCCCACATCGTATTGATGTGAGGAGCCGCGTCTGATGGAAAACCAACGGGACAGACGTCCGCCAGGGGATTCTCCGGGGGTGGTGATGTCTTCGCGCTGCGATCCTGCCCCCGATGTCGGCATCGTGCAGGCACTGGCACGTCGCATGATCATATTGTTGCTGTTGTTGGAGCTGTTGCTGTTCAAATTGGTATTTGCGTTGCTGGTTTGTTGCTCAGTAGCGTAGCCAGGCGATTGCTGCGACTGTGGCGGCTGCTGCTGGTGTTGTTGGTGCTGAGCGGTTGTTCCGGCCGTGCGCCATTTGTCAAATGACAAATGCTGCTTGGCCTTGTTGAAGGTGGAACGCAATTGTGAATTGCGTTGGTTGTTGGCGCTAAGGGAACTCACGCTGCTGCTGGTCTGCTGCTCCTCCTCGGTGAGGGCCTCCTCGTCGGAGTGGCTGGCGGTTGGCGCCTGTCCGGGCGGACTTCGATAGCAGGCGGGCGTCTTAGTGTCGCGCTCGCCCCCGTTACTGCTGTTGATCACGCTGCTGCCGACTGTTGCGGCCGCTGGCTGGATAACACCAACGGCAGCGTTGCTACCGTTGGCGCTGAAGCTTCCGCCGGCAATTGTGGCGCAGTTGTCCTGCGACGTCGGTTGCGGCTGTTGTTGTTGTTGCTGAAGCTGTTGGTGCTGCTGATGGGCAGCGTGGCTGCGCTGCTTTTCGGCTATGCGTCGACTGAAGGCGCTGTGTAGTTGGGCGGTCGTTACGCTGGCGTTGAACGTGTGCAATGGACCCGTAACTGCTGGCGAGGTAGCGGCGGCAGAGTCCTGCGGTGCTCCTGTACTATTGCTGCTACTGTTGTTGTTGTTGTGACCACTCAGGGTATCCTCCCATGAGCCAGAGTTTAATTTGTGCTCATCTGAAAAGGTAAGATATTACTTGACTTAGTGAAAATGCTTTACCATCAAGCTGTGTTGGGTTCAGATGGAGATGATAAGGTGAAGATTTGTATGATTAGTGAAAATTTTCTATTGTGCTGGGCACATATTTTATGGATCTCTTAGGGTTTAGCTTTTATTCGAGGAATGCCGGCTCTGCTTTCGAGATGGAAGCGCTCAGACGTGCAAACAATGTACCATTTATTAATATGGCTAATCCTTCCGTGTATGACACATTTTTTCTGCAACTCTTAAAAATTTTGCACGAATCAAAGTTCGCAATTACCTGAAAGGCAGTCTGGTTGGTGTTCTGGCAGAATTGTTTTGCATTAAGAACTATAAAATTATTGCGCAATTGAAATTGGCGTTGACGTCAACACCCACAGCTAAAGCGCCATGACTTTGGCCAATTGCCAAGTGGCTCTAATTGTTATTGGACTGCCGCATGATTGGCAATTAACGCCGGCCGGCCAGAGGGCAGGTAGGCAGACAGTCAGCTTTTCAGTCAGTCGGACAGCGCATAAAGTGAGTTAATTGCATGCAGATTAAGTGGCTTACAATGGAAACAGGATTTCCATGGTCATATATATATTTAAATAGACATGTGTGTGTGAGTGCGTGTGTGTGTAGGCTGCGCCGGCGGCTCAGCATCAAAGACAAAATTGGCCAACAAATCAAAGTTCTTCGGCTGTAAAGCGGCGTCGAGAACGCGCAGCTCAGAGCTCCAAGAACTGTCGTCGGAGTGTTCACGACTCGTTAGCGCCGCCGGCGGCTGTGTGGGCGCTTTCAAGTGGCCATGGCCGGCAGCAACTACCACCACCACCAGCAACAACAATAGCAACAACAACACCTACACGCTCCATTAGCAACGTGGCTAAGTCTTTTAATTTCTTTGCCTCGCTCTGGCTGTCTCTGCTCACAACATTTGTCATGTCCAAAAACAACAAACAGCAGCAATAACAACAAGCATAACAATAATACTAGCAACAACATACACGTACAAACAATGACAACAACAGAACAAGCGGCAAGATTATTTGTTTATTATTGCTGGCCATGTTCCTCACAAATCGTTCGAATCACCGGGACACCATTAATCATTCAACTGGGCGCAGGAGTGCGAATGTGAAGTTGAAGTCGAAGCCAAATCATAGCTGCGGCCTCAGTTGTGGGAATCTGTGATCGATACGGAGCTCGAACTAATTTCATTTCAATTTTTGTCTGCCTACATACTTGTATGTGCATCAAAAGTCACGTCTCATTCAGATTTACTTATGCCTATCACTTCCTACTTCTATTTGTGCTTTAACATTTAACATCCTATTCCGATTGATTTCTATATTTCCTTTTTGTTCTCATTTAAAATGAACTTACATTCATTGAGGTAAAAAATTATACGTATATATACAATATAACTCTGCGAGGATAGAACTTGTATTGGAAAATAGAAGAAAAGAAAACAGATTTTTAAAATGATTGTCATATTAGACTCTAAGAGTAAATTCTTCTTTGTCCCAACAAAATAATATGTTATTATTAAAAACTTTGTAAAGCTTTAGGAAAATTCAAAATATAAATTGAAAGATTTGCAACTAAAGTTATCTGTGAATTAAAAGACATTTTAGTAAAACAAACAATTTCGGCAAAGCCCTTCTTACACAATTCCCAAACAATTACACAGTTATAATGTTTCAGAATAAACATGTTATTCTCACAAAAAATATATATATATATATATATATATAAATATATTAATTAAAAATTTAAAAAAAAAATCAATTAATAAAACTATAACTTCTTTTCAAATTAACCTATTAAGATAAGACTTGGCATATGGATAATTGCTAAAGATTTCAAAAATTAAGGGAGTTATGAAAATTAATTATAGCGGTGAAGTAGGGGAGTTAGGGAAAAACAAACTCAAATTCGGAGTTTCTCGAACGTAGGAGAATCTGAATACCAAGTTTGATTATTTTAGCTCTCATACTTTCTGAGATCCTTGCGTTCATACAGACGGACGGACGGACATATCTACTATATATCGACTCGGCTTGTCATCCTGATGAACAATATATGAACTTTGCAGGCAGCTGGAAAGACCGCCTTTTTACATTCCTAAAAAACTATTATACCCTTTTATACTTTTTAAAAACTATTCAGATATATGAACCAAGTTGGGGATACTGTGAAAACAAAATGCACGTTTATTATACTCGTATGCCCATAGAGTCGCCTAGCAAGGGGCAGCAGAGCTAGGAGGCTCTCTATTTGTGTGAAAGTTTAAATGTCACCAGCAGCACACTATAGTAATTGGTTGAAAATGTTATATGTACGAGTATTTCTGCTTGTCATTGATAAACTTGTGTATTCATAGTTAATTATAATTTAATTTTCTTTGCCCTTTTTGTGTCAGATGCAATTTTGCAATATTTATATACTTTTCACTTCCTTCCGGTAACTTGCATCCGCCCAAGCTGGCAGCAGATAGGTAGCCCCCTGGCGTGATATTCACTTTATTTTATAAATGTCAGCAGCAAGATGTCGCTAACAATTTTATACCAACAGCAACAGTAACAGCAACAATGATAGCGATGAAAAGCAAAGAAGCTGCAAATATGACAGCAGATATGCAAAGTCAAATGACAGTTGCAAAATGGCCGCAATGCCGTTCTTCAAAAAAAAAATGTCGACTAAAATATTTGCAAAATATAAAGTATTTACATATACACGTTGTGTGTCTCCACGCCGTGCATATACAGTGGGCCAAAAAAGTTTGAGTACACTCGGATTTTTAAAGAATATTCGAAGAAACATAAATACTAAATATAAATAATAAAGCCCATTCTTATAGAACATATTTCAATTGTTTGAGCATGAACGATATGGCCATAGCTTCGGAATGCTTCCTTCTGCATTTTGGAGGTCCGCTTTTACTCCACTCAATACTTGGAGTTCAACTCTTGCGGTCAATTTTTTTTTACCGTCAAAGTTCCAGAGTATCCTTATGAAATTATTAATGTTTGAACACTCGATTTTTGGCCAATAGTAGGAATTATTTTGCGTTCTACATACTGTTTAAGGATTAATTGACGAGTTTGAAGCGATATTTCTCAACCAGGACGCATAATGATTATTCCTTGACAAATTTGCAACAGAAATTATATTGAAAACCACGAAATTAAAAGGATGAGGGTCATAGTAAAAAGCAAATCAACGATCACTGTTTTGTTTTTTTTGTTTTTTTGCAGACATAACGACATCAGACCTTTTTTTCTTTTTCCGTGGCTACCGCGTTCCACACAGATATTTCGAAAATAATTTTGGGGCAGACTAAAATAAAATAGTCCGCTTAAATATAAGGTAAACAAAAACCAAGGATATATGTTAAATTAGTTTTTTTAAACAAATTATGTATTTTTATAAAGTGTACTTAAAATTGTTGTTGTCCACTGGATGTGTGTGTGTTAAGGTCTTCAGCAAATAAGAGAACTAAATCTGAGCAAAACAAAAAAAAGCAAAAGGTACTAAATTGAATGTTTGTTCAAAGGCGACAACAGAAGCTGTTGTTGAAGCTGAAGCCGAAGCCGAAGCTGCCAACAACAAGTGAGCAGAAGTTGTTTTTGGTTTCTGGTTTTTTTGTGTTTTGTTTGGTTTTCTGTTCAAACATTGTTTTAATTAAACGTAACTTTTTTGGCTTTGACGGAATATATATTGAAGGCTATGCTGAAAGTTAAGCGTCTTTTAATTTCATTACAACTCTATAGCCAGACATATGTATGTACATACATACGAGTATGTGTAAATATTTTGCTTAACAAGCGACAAAGCTATGCGTTCACAACACGTGAGATGTGGGCGAAGCAAGGGTTAAGGAAGGTATCCTTAACACACACACACACACACTCCCACACAGACACAGACACACAGGGACACGCGTACAGCATCAGTTTATAATTAATTTCAAATAACTGTAAGCGCTCACTTAGCATTGGGTGGCAGTCGGTTAGGGAATGGAATGGAATGGAAGGGTTAGGGGAGGAGAGTAATTTGGCGGGCGTCAAGGCTTTAAGGCCTCACATTCTTATGCAACATTCTGGTTCTATGCTAAACAGACCCACACACACACACACAGAGAGAGAGAGAGACACGCACACCCAGTTGGTAAATATGCAAACAGGCAAGAGATTCCTTGTCACTCTGCCCAACTGTTGTTGTTGGTGTTATTGTTCTAGCCTGTGACTGAAATATTTCCTTTTGGCATTGTACCGACGAGCAGGAAGCTAACAACCGAACATATCTAAATTTTGTATGCATGTACATACCGCACATATGGAAGCTGGTATGTGCATCAATACATACATACTTCTACACGTATGTATATAGTACATAGGTTTGTGTATGTGTGCTGGTCTGTTCTCCTTAGATGGATCGCCAGGAACGTGCACTTGCTTTATTAAAATATAAATGCAGGGAATGCTCTGAATACTCGCATATAGTATGTAGAGAGAAACATGAACAACATGTCCGCCATAGGTATCTGCAAACTATTTCTATACTTGTTGTAAAAATACGATTCAGCGAAGTGAAAGTTAAGCTTGTCCTTTATTAGGTTTAGGGGAATCTGTACACCAACTGCGGTGACTGTAACTCTCATATTTCCGGAAATCTGTGCGTTCATACAGACAGACACGTGGACAAGCACAGGTCAGTATGTAAATAGTACAGAGAAACCTTTAGATCTGCTTGTTTAAAGGAGCTGCGAAAGTACGCTGCCTAAAATTCCCAGCAAAAGGTATGGTAGATGAGTTAATTATAGAAAAGACAAGAAGTTCATAAAACCTCGAAAGGCTAACAAAAAATAAATTTAAAAAGTGTTTAAAAATCACAAAGAATCAGTCATCAACCACTAAATAATGGAATTTCCAGCATCATTATGTGAGTTGCAAATAACCTGAGATCCAACAAACGATGGTCC